AAGAAGACAAGGCAACGGGATGGAACTCTTCTCAGAGACACACCCTTCTCGGTGGAGGGGCATTTCTAGGATTAAGTCTACCGGAGGAGAGGTTAGCTCCTAGGCCCCTTACTCAGGCCAAGCCAAATAATCAATGTGTTCATCTGTAGCTACCATGGAGACACACATTCCACTCCTTTAAGCACAGGCACTGAACAAGAATTTATCAGAAAAAAAAACAAAATCAATATCTAGCTTTAACAACCAAGAATGGATTTGATCTGCTTCATATAAAGGCTACAAAAAAAAAAAAAGCTATATATTTTTCTGAACATATGAATTCAAGTACACAGAACAGAAGAAATCTGAAGAGTTATTCTCAACATCCTTTTTAGAAGACTGCTCAGGAGAATAACATTTCAGAATGCTATGGTAAGCCAGTAAATACTCAGAAGTCACTTATGATACAATCTTCTTATTTACTAAATAAAGTAAAACAGCACCTTAGATAAATGTGTACCTAATTAGGATAAAAATGTCAAAAATACTTTAGAGTACTTTGGTCTACTTAATTTTTAAAAACTACAATTTCTTGAGATCTGGGGATGAAAAGGCAGGCTGATCTGTGGTCAGCACACAGGCTTAAAATCAAAGTTCCTATGTTTTCAAGAGATACTGTAATCATCAATACACCTTCCTAAGAAAAAGATCTCATGGGGTTTTGGAAAATTCCACAAGAAACCACAATTTTATGCCACTGGAGCCATAACAGTGTCTGTCGCACGTACTTACCTGAGGGACATTGCTATCAACCCACTTGGAATCTGGTGAAATGTCATCCCACAAGATCAGGCACCGAGCCAGGGTCTTAAATAGGATATACAGATAAAACTAATCAGAGTGGGCAAGTGCCCAGACTTTGTTAACAATGATCATGTTAAATAAAATAATGTGAGAATCAGTTCCCAACCAATGGTAATTTTTCAAATAAGTACATATGGCCAACCTAAGCTACTTGTTAAAGTAAAATGAAGACTTAGATTTCAACACAAAAAACTAAAATTGAGTTGATTACCATCGAAGATTGGGGAAGTTAGAGAGGACATTTTAAAACTTGTTCCATAAAAGAATCACAGTGGCCTACATAATTTCAAGGCTTTCATATGCTAAAAACATACACGTTTAAACATTCTAGAGGGAATAATTTAGGCAATTATGTCAAACAGTTACTGTCATTAATCTCACTCTTAATAGCAAAACTGTACCCTAACAACAAGGGCAGTGGTGAAGCCCATCATTGCTGCTCAATAGGAAGTCCTGGATAATAACATGAAAAGCACTGGAACCTCAATGCCAAGTATCTGTCAACATGGCTGCCTTCTCTGCATTCCACAGCTAAATGTGGGAAATTCCAAAAGAACACTACCAGTGACATGACAGATTAAAAGTGAAAGTTTCCCAGGTAGAAACATTTACATTTTTGCAAGCTAATCCTGAGAGCCATAGACAGACTCTTCATGTTAACAAAAATGAAACAGCGCCGAGGACCATACCCTAAGCAACAGGAACTCTGGCTTCACAAAGTCCAGCAGGTACATAGTGTCAGGAGCTCGAAGCCAGTCTGCGACGGATCTGTTGGTGGAAGGCGTCACTGAGCGCACTGCTCAAGAAGACGCCTGACACAAGTTCCAAACCTTTCTCCCCACTCCATCCCCTACTCTGCTCTCTTTGCACATGACTCTGGCTCTACGATGTGTGTGTGTATCTTACTATGTAACATAAACTCCATGAGGGCTGCTGTGTTTAGTGTTATCTTGTTCTGGTGACAAGAAAGCACCGACATACACACTCATCCCAACAGTAGATGAATAAAAACCTGTTTACCCATTTTCAATACTGCATACATTCGCTTTTTCTAAGCAGGGAATTTATAACACTGAAAAATTTCTTGAATCTCAGAATATTTTTTAAATTAAGAGACTTAAAACATGGTTTAATGTCTCCTATCCAACTTACTCTCCTATGCAAAATGTAAAAGAATAAAACACCAATGGTCTGCTTTCATGTCAGCACTGACCATGGGAGTTGGGAAGGCAGACGTGTGGTCACAAGGAAAGCCCTTGAACATAGCAGAAACCATATTCACACAGAGGAATCAAGAACAGAATAAGGCTAAGTACTTCTGGCTTCGCCAGTCCTCACAACGACATGCAAATTTATTAAGAAGGAATGTGGGCATTTTTTGATTGTCAGTGACATCAACTATAAAACGGGAATGAAATTTGGCAACTATGTTGTCAAATATCATTAAAATAGCAAAACATTATTTCTAGATAAAAATCTACATAATCTGAAGTGTTTGAGAGAACTGAAATCAGATTGATCTAGCAGAGGGGAAATAAATACAGTAAGATAATTCAGTTTGACTGCTGATGCCAGAAAGGAAGTTACACTGCCCGCGGTGGCGGGGAGGGGTGGAGGCTGGCGGACACAACACCTGTTGTTGGTTTTCAAGTAGATCATAGCCAGAGCAAGTGTGGCTCCTGGGCACGTCACATCCACATTTATGGTGTCTCCTTCCTATCAAAAGGCAAGTTTATTCACATAAGAGTTCTGAATCATTATAGAATTCTTCTGCATACTAGTCTTTGCTTAAAATGAACATATTTACTAAGGCTGGTATGAAAACCACTACTTTCAAATTACTGTACTGATGTGGACTTACTTTGATTTGGTAACTTGGAGATTTATGCTTCTCCCTGTGCATTCCCGCTTGAAAGCGCCGGTGGCCTCCAACCATGTACTGATAAAGCTGTTCAGGAACATTCAAGTCCGACATACCTACCAAGTTACTGCCGTGCTGGAACACGAAAGACAGATGAGGAAAGGGAAGCTTATGAAATAAGGTTCACAACATATACAAACAAAATAACGAACTAACTCCAAAGCAGGGTGTTACAGGGTTGTTTTCCCAATTAAAATCACTATTACTGAGTAGATATTCAAGCTCTTAATAATTCACATTAAAATTACAATATTTGTATGTTCAGGTTAATACTTTCACGTCACAAAATACATAAAGGCTTCAAAATACAGTTAATACGATCAGAAACCATTAGGAATGTGACTGACACCTGACTGTGAACACTGGAACCGCTGCACTGTTACGCCTATGAACCACCCCAGCAATGGTAACTGGGGTCATAAAAGCGACTCACTCTGCCCCGGGAACCATTCCACGTCCCACACAGGCTCACTTCTCAATATAACAGTTCTGTCCAATAGCTACTATTTCATAGGTGAGAAAAATGAGGCAAAGAGATGAAGCCCAAAGTGACACAACTAGTAAGTGGCAGGGCTGGATATGACACAAGGCAGTTTGACTCCGAAACCTACAGAGTTGCTTAACCGCTAGACAATTCTCTAGGTAAATGACATGAGTCACTGGTCAGGACCAGAATCCAGGTCCCAGTTCCCACTGTGAAGCCCTTACACTGTACCATCTGCCTCTTTGATTCACATGCAAATGTGAAGAGTCAGAGAGCTAGCAGTCAGCTTGCTTTGCACAATCTAGTTTCAGTGTGACAACGTGATGGTGGTTCTTCAAGGAACTCTCATTCCAGCTGATACAGTCCTTAAACGAAACGTTTTTGATAACCTTATACCACGTCTCAGGGACGGATCAGATGGGTCAACGTGATGCCTGCCGCCTTCCATCACAAAGCAAAATGCTGCTGTGGCAACCCTTTGCAAGGCTGTGACCACCAAGTGCCAAAAGAAGGCTATAGTTTCTCTCTAGCAATGCTACAGACTCTTAAAGGCCCCCGTCCTATACACATTTTCACTATTTTCTGTTTCCTGAATGGGTTGTCACTTCACCTGTGTCTTAAACTCTTTCTGAGAGACTTCATTCCCTTGATTCATTCATGAGCACTTAGTTCTAGGTCAAGGGATAGAAACCTCAAAGCCCACTCTTCACACAATTTCTCTCCACTTCCGAAACTAGCACCTTGAAAAATACCCAGAAAGAGGGAGCTGAGAGTCAGGGTAAGTCAAGTCACAGAGAGGCAGAGCATATTCAGAAGAAAGTGCTAAACGTCATTTGTCTCAGAACACAGGTGTCGTCCCCAAGCCTCGGAATGCAGCACTGCACTTACCCCCAAGCAGACCATGCCCAGGGCCAGGCCAGCAGCTAGAGAGTAGGACTCTCTGTCTGTGCAGTATTCCATCTCGGGACCAGGAGGCCGGCCTATGAAACAGGACACAACATGCTTCAAGCTGGCCCTCTCAGGCCCCTAACTCATAGAAGTTAGGATCAGAGTTAACATTCTAGTAAGCCACATAAGAACTATGATTCAGTATAACCCCACTCAGAAAGATGTGACATCGCAAATGGTGCCCACAACCGTCAATTTACTACAAAATAAAGCCCCCAAATGGTTCTTTTAATTTGTTGATTTGAAAGTAATGACTTTAAAACACTAGGAAGCTTTGGGTTTTACTTAAAAAAAAAAAAAAAAAATCACAACAAGGAAAAATATTTTTAAAGAGAGGGGTGCTCAAAAACAGTTTTAAATTTTAATCTCTTGCATTTTGTCTGTGCTTTATTTTTAAATCCATTCATTAGATGTGGTGAAAACATGTTGAAATACTGACAATGAACAGGAAGGAAACTTAAAAGTTTTTAAGCACATTAAATATTGTTTCCAGACACTTATTTTGAATCTATAGACAACTGAGCTGCCCTACTCTAGTAGAATTTCTGTGTAACAACCCTAAAAGTTTGGCCGGGTGGAAAATTCATTCTTTTAAAAAGCATCCCATAATCCTAACTGTACTCTTTAGGGCAACAAAATGTATTATATATAAAAATCTTTCCCTGGGATTTTATATCCAGCAGAAAAATGCATTTTAAAAAAAGAAATATTATATAAAAGTAATCGGTGTAATGTTTATGCATGATAGCAGAGAATTTAGAAAGAGTCATGAAAACAGGAACAATTAGGCAGTTTACAGAACACCAACTCAAATGATACTAAACAATATGGAATCGACGTTTCAGAACATTCATGACAAAGATATGTGGAAAGGACAGACTAGAAGCAGCATGCACACACGCAAGCATGTGGAAACCCTCTACGTACGACAGCAAAGAGTGTACTTGGCTGTGACACATACGACGGTATCACAAGGCAAAGAATGTGAAATTGCCCTGTGGGTGAACAAGCTTTCGAAGCCAGCCTGGAGTATCGTCTCAATAAGCGTTTGGCAGACCAACAACCTACACTACTACGTATTTAAGTAACAGGGAAATTTCAGTTTTGAGGATAACTTACTTTATCACTGCAGTAAACTAAACTGTTGGCCTCAAGTCTTCAGGGCCTGCAGTGCAAGTACACACACACCCACCCTCGACATAGCCTCATAGGGATCTGAGCATGTGACTAGCACTGGCCTGGGGTCTCAGCTTGCACAGCGGCAGCAAAGGCCTACACTGTGCTTCCATGTTTGTCCTCCTCTCACCCTCTGTCGTCACCATGAGAACAGCACACCCTCTGGCCTGGGCCCCAGAATGAGGCTGTGGGAGCAGGGCCAGGGCAACAGCCCACAGACTACAGCTGGAAGCAGAGACACCCGGGCCAACTGTGTGCTGCGTGTTATGTCACATTAGTGTGCCAGCAGCTGACTGCTACAATCAATCTAGAGAATAAAGGGTCTTCGACAACACAGCTTGACATATCTATAGAAAAGGTCCTGAATAGGACAGAAGAAGACATGCAAGTGTACGCCTGAACTTCTGAACATGCGGTGATGCCAATGATGACGACACGTAAGACAGATTTCCAAAAAGCTTAGACTCAATTAAAATCACAGAAATGCATTTCAGCACCAACATACACCCTAGCACATAATGGAGGAAAGTAAGAGTCATCACTTCCATTCTCTTGGAAGTGCTATTGTCCCACGGAATAAACACTGTGTCTTCAAGAACTCTGAGTTTTAAGTGCAGAGCACCTTGCCTAGCAGAGACATGGCGGGAGGACTGCATGTTCACGTGTGACTGAGACCTCAGGCTACCTTATTAACAGGGTCATTGGAGCTCAATACTGAGCTGGCCAAATAAAAATGCAGACTAATAACCTGCACAGTAATACCAGCCTCGGGAAACACGAATTGTAGGTTTCCATTTTTGTTTTTTAGTACCAGTTCATTCTATCCTTAGAACAGCTACTATTTTCTCCATCATCCTTACTTTGTTTCTCATAGACTGGGAATGTATGCTTATGAAGACACAGCACCACCTACGCCATACCTATCTCGGCCAACAGGACTTCTGCGGTGTGCCTGTGGGCTGTCCCCTGATACACCAGGCCAATGCCGACCACTGCAGCCACCTGGACACTATGAGGGACATCCAGCTCCGTGGATGTTGGGGGCAAGAGAGCAGGGACGTGGATGCTGAGCAGCCGAGTGACACACATGTCCATGGTTCCCAGTTTAGCAGCGGAGACACCGAGGAGCAGTCCAATGCTTGTCATTTCGTGACCCTAAGACAGAAAGATTGAAACTTAGGTCGCTTCCAAATCAGGTAGGTGGTTCCAAATAAAATACTTCCCGCCAGTACTTTCAGTAAGCACTCTCATGTGGTAGGCACAGTGAGAGGCACCAAAAATACAACAGCTAAACTAAACAGACATGCTCCTTGCTCCTGAAGCGAGTGCCCAAACGGGGAACGAAGTGTTAAACGGAGCCTAGTTTAGATTAGGAGGGGATGGAGAATCTTTACGAATCTCTAAAAGAGTAAACATAACAATAGGACGTGAAGAAGAAGTACAAATTAGCCAGGGAAGGGGCAGAGAGTGGGGTACTCGACTTTAGAAAGTGAGAGAAACATGTCAGGTGAGAGAACATGTAAACAGCTCCGAGGTGACCCAGAAACAAACACACTGATGGTGGACTGACCACAAGGGCACCAAAAGAATCCAATGGGAAAAGAGCAGTCTTTTCAAGACACAGCACCATGATAACTGGACAGCCATATGCCAAAGAACGAAGGTGGGCCCTTCCTTATGTTATACGCAAAAAGTAACTATAAATGGATCAAAGAACTAAATGTAGGAGCTAAAACTACGAAACCCTGAGAAGAAAACAGAGGTGTTAATCTTCGTGTCCTGGGGTTAGGCAATGACTTGGATATGAGATCAAAAATGCAGAACCAAGGGAAAAAAACATGAACTGGATTCATCAAAATTAAAAACTTTTGTGTTTCAAAGACACCATCAGAAAGTGAAAAGACAACCGAAAGAATGGGAGAAAAATTCTGCAAATCTTTTACCCGTTAATGGACCTGTATCTAGAATACAGAAAGACTACAACTCAATAAGACAACCCAATTAAAAAATAAGCCAAGGATCTGAATAGACATTTCTCCAAAGTATACTTACAGATGGCCTGTGAGCACATGGACGGATGCTCAGCATCATTAGCCATGAGGCAAATGAAACCAAAATCACAGTGGGGCATTACTTCCCACTTACCCAGAGGGCTATAAGGAAACAGACAGACAGTAACAAGTGTTTGCAAGAATGTGGAGAAACTGGGACTAGGTAGTGCTGGTGCAATATAAACAGTGCAGCCACTCTGGAGTTTGGTGGTTCCCAAAAAATTTAAACAAGAGTTACCACCCGACCCAGCAATTTCACTTCTAGCAATACACCTAAGAAAAATGAAAACATATGTCCACACAAAAACATGTATATAACAGCATTATTCACAATAGCCGAAAAGTAGAAATGCCCGAATATCCTTCAACTGATGGATAAATGAAATATGGCATATCTGTACAATGCTGCATCTATCACCAATATGAGAAATGAAGCGCCGATACAAGGTACAGTACGGTCCAACCCGGAAAACATTTCGCTGAGGGAAAGAAGCCAATCATAAAAGGCCACGTAGTGTACAACTTTGTTTCTATAAAATGCCCAGAATGGGCAAATCCAGAGACAGGAAGTAGACGAGGGGCTGTGGGGACGGGGGAGGAAGAGTGAGTGACTGCTACTGGGTCTGAAGCTCCTTTATAAAGCGATGAAAAAGTTCTAAAATTATCAGCAGCAGTGGATGTACAACTCTGTGAATACACTAAAAACCAGTGAATTGTATACTTTAAGTGGGTGCATTTTTATGGCTTAGAAGTGGAAGAGTTTACACCAAAAGGAAGAGTCCGCTTTGCCAAGGAGCTGAATGGCCAGTCCCAAGCTGGTGTGTGTGGAGCCAAGCAAGAGTGGTACGAAGTGGGCTGGACTACAGAAGAGCCACACAGGCCCTAGACATGCACTAAGAGCAATGGATGACCACCGCACGGGTTCAACCAGGGAAGTGACGTACCCCAACCACACCTCTGAGAGCCGCTCTACAGCCTACGAGCAGGATGGACTCAGGATAAGGAAGGATGAGCAAACGGAGAAACGAGGAGCAACGAGGAGCCACTGCGACAGCCCAGGGAACGCGCTCACCTTGGTCAGGTAGTCATGGATGTTGAGAGTAGCCAGCTTGGTGAGGTGCCCGTTCAGGCCCAAGGCCATCAGGAAGCCCGCGTACTCATTGGCCAACTCAGCGTGCTTGGGCTTGTTGTACACAATCCAGGCTGAATCAATCTGAGAGGCCGGGGCAATCTTTAGGCCAGCGGCTACACCGTTGTGGAAGCTGGCCCAGCTGGCCATGTTGGGGGGTACGTCCACGTTCCCGCTGCTGAGGTCCACAGTTGTATTCCGCGGCGGGGCACGCCCTGGGCAGCAGGCGCATTTATAGTGGGGAGGATGGTAGACCCAAACCAAAAGATCATTAGAATTAGATTTCTGAGATCTGAGATAGCTTTTCCTACATTCAAAACCTTTGTCTCCTGACACTTGAGATGACACTAGGTTACTGGGCACACTCAGACTTTCACACATGTGGACCAAACTCAGTTGAAGGCAGAAAAACCTCAATTGTTAAAATAATTCATTGTCCTTTTGCCAAAATACGTGGGGTTATAAGAAAGCTGATACCAATTTAAATTCATACAGATCTGATTAGTGTACCCACTGTTTTGAAATCTTTCAGACAGCAGGAAGCTTATCAAAAAAAATTAAAATGAAGACTAAGATCACATTATGTGAATACTAAATCCCAACATGTGGCTGGTGACACTGACATTAATTTTAAACACGCCATCCCATATTTTTCTCAGAACATTAAGGGTAAATGACATTTTAAAAAGAGACAATGACCTTTACAAATGTGCTCTATCTCCAACTACTACCTATATATGTTTCTCTCTATATATAGATACCTACACGCTACTATTAAAAACACCAAACTCATTCAGAGACAGTCCTATATAAAAAGCATCATTTTATAGATGAGCTACCCAGTGAACCACGAGAGTACTCACTAAATTTAATTTTATGGTCAATTTATTTAAAAGTAATATAAATTAAACAGTCATGAAGTCATGTTCTCTTTGAATTCCTTGGCTTGGGCCTTTTGGTTTTGATCTATACTGTCTACAGGCAAATACTGAATTCTACACTGTCTATAGGCAAATACTTAAACTTTTACTTTGTCAAAAAAGCAAAGAGATTAATAATAAGATGCATAAACTTTCTAAAATAACAATTCATCTTATACATAACATATGCACACAAAAGAAAACGAAAGGCAAAGGATAAAGCAAATTTACTTCAATAATAAAATCATTCGAAAACAAGACAGGCCATATCGGTGAGTTAAGGAACTATTTTATAAGAAAGCATTTTTCCTAAATTAACTTATTATTAAATCAAAATAATTTGGAAGGGTGTACCAGAATGGCTAACAGAATAAAGCCGGAGATGAATGTCATAAATTGTGCAAATTTAATTAAATGTATTCAGAAAAACGAAGACAATGCTTCACGTATTTATTTCTTAACACCAGCCAAGCATCACCATCCAGATTTAAGACATTTTAATATTTGCCAATTTTGCATGTCCTTTTCTAACCCAAACTTTTTCTACGAAAACCTTCAAATAGTTGAAAGACTAATGAAATGAACACCTATATATATCATGCCCTCCGTCAAGATTCAACAATTGCTCAGATTTTGCTAGAGTTGCTTTATCTCTGAGAGAATAATTAAGATAGTGAGGGTCACTCTGCTTGCTGTCCTCGCTGAAATAAAGACTCCAGAGTAGGTGTGACATTGGAGAAGGGAATGGTTCTTCATTCAGATGATGGCATTTTCCATATGCTGCTTGAAAGCGCAGCTCGTTACAAATGTGAGTGAGACTCTGAACTTTTAAAATTATGCAACTTTGAAATATTGCAGAATTATACTTGCATATATTAAATGCAATACATTACTGTATACGTTATACATACATTTTGTACTGGTCTCATAAAACCACATATACTCTAAAGCAGCGGTCCCCAACCTCTTGGGCGCCAGGACCAGGGACCAGTGCTCTTATGAGAATCTAATGCCTGACGATCTGAAGTGGAGCTGAGGCCATGATGCTGGCACTGGGGAGCAACTGCAAATACAAATGAAGCTTCGCTCGCTCGCCTGCCCGCCACTCACTTCCTGCTGTGCAGCGCAGTTCCTAACAGGCCACGGACCAGTACTCAGTACCAGTCTTCGGCCCAGGGGTTGAGAGATCCTGCTCTAAGGGATTTTTAATAATTCTGACTATATACAATTGTCACCTACAGAACACATTCACACCAGCACCAGTGAACACGCCTGTAAAACCTCCTGTGATTGCTAACACTGGGAAAGCAGCACCCTCAGATCTGGCAGAAGTAAAACTCCTACAGCCCATCAGGAAGGCACGCAGACAAGCCGCTCACTGACAACAGAGTCTGAGCACCCTGCTGCCCTAGGAGTTTTGCTTCTAAGCAGTCACTCCAAGTACAACGAATACAGCACAACGATATATTTAAAGTAGCAAAAAAAAAGAAAAAAAAAAAACAAACAATAACTTCCAACAATATCAGGCTATTTATATAAACTATATTCCATTATATGAAATACTCTGGAGCAAATAAAAATGAAGTTGTTGATTAAAACTACGTGTATTCAATACTACACACATACTTATACATAATTGTATACATAGATGTGCTAGATATGAAAGGATGTTCACAATCCGGTAAATTTTTAAATTGTTTCTAAAACAGATTCAGATTTTCTGATAAACAAATACAGAATTACAAAATAGAGAAACAATATTTGGAAATGTATGAAGAAAAAGGTGAGCACTGCGAACTCCTGGAAGTGGGACTGCTGTAAGTGTACTCCCTTGTTTTCCTACAAAGACCATGTATCCATAATAAGAATTAAGATATTTCAAATATTTCTAAATATTTTTACACGTTACACTTTGAGATTATTTAAAGTCCAATAAGCTCACATTACCAATGATATCTTTCTAAACTTTCCCAAGTGCCTTTTTATATCTTGAAATGGTCTCATTAAAAGCAAAACTTAGCAATGGGCTATATTCTACTTCCCTCAGCTTTTGGTCTGATTTGCTATTTGAGCTGAGAGAATCACGAGAATAGCCATAAACAATATATAAAATCACTTGGGATAGAGAGAGTGTTTCATTGGTTTTACTTAAATAATTCAAAACAACTCCATTAAACATATACTTAATCATTTTCCTTCCTCACTGAGACCAGAATTTAACATACCAGTCAAATTCAGCTTAGGAATAGGCAACGGCTCCGTTGGAACAGGATGGTACGAAAACAAAGTGAACATCCCTCGTCCCACCGGAAGGGCCATAGTGCGCTGGCACAACTGGAGCAATCTACAATCAGGATGAAAACCAACATGTGAAACATTTTTATGAAAAATAATTAGAATGCAATCTGTAGACAAGTATTTCAAAAGAAGGCATGCTGTGTAAGATGAAGTCACGTCCTGTAAACCCACAAAAGATGTCGATGAGTCACCCAAACATGGTCCGAGCACAGTCGTTCTCATGCTAATACTCTCACTGCCACTAGAAACTCTCAGGGGAGATGCAGTTCCTTTCTCTTCTTTCGTATTTGCTCTGAATGGAAACCAGCTGGTCTATAACCCAGGCTTCCTCTCCCAGGTCTCCAAAAAGAGAAACCTAAACTGCTCTGATGTGAACCCTCCCAAAAGACAACACTGTCCTCTCCGGCTGTTCTCACTGTGTTGTTTTCAGTCTGGCTGCCCTCAGTACATACACTGGGTCTTCCTCCCACCCTTTTTGCCAAAACAAAACTGGGAAGTGCCCCCTCTGGGGCCATGCATGAGGAGGGAAAGGAAGTCCCTCCACTGAAAGTCAGTGGATTTCCTGGTGTCTCCAGGGCAAACACGGAACCGGTCTCACCTACACAACGATGATTTACAGGACCGACAACATTATACATCAGTGACATTCAAGTTTAAAATGGCTTCTGTGGGCTACTTATTTCTTTGATAAAACAAGTCACATTCCATAGAGCCCCTTAAAACAAAACAAAATCAAATAAATTATGAAGGGGGTGGCACTATAACCAGGAAACAACACCAGGGCTATCTGAAGACGCAGAAACACCCTTCAGAGGTGAACACTACCTCTGCAGACCAGGCCACTCATAGGCACGTGTTGCCCTGCCTGCAGCGCTCTCCTGCCTGCAGCGCTCCCCAGCCTGCACACACTCAGAGCTGCTTTTTGAGGTCATTGGTGAGGAAAATTTTGCTGTCCTAAGATTCTGTGGGAACACTGTTCTCTATGTTAATTCAGAACCAGGGCAATTCAAGCCCAGGAAGCAACATCCTACAGAATTTTTTTGCAGAAATCACACATGTAACCCACATTACTGTAAGGAAAATAACACTGTACCCCTTCCACGTAAGATGTCACTGAGTGTAAGATGCAGCGCTAGCTACTTCATGGGGTACCAACAGAGAGAAAGCACTGCCGATAAATAACATCTAAAGACAGACTCTGTTCAAAGATATTAAAAAGGTAAAAAGAGTCAGCCTCACAGAACCCAGGAACCCTATTCAGAAGCGCTGCCTACACTGAGTGAGGCTATGCACTGGGCAGTGTGCCCAGCATCATGCAGAAGTAACTCACTGGCCACACAGAGCAGCCGTGCAAGGCATCAATGCAATGGCTGGCCTAGTCTTACAGAGGGGGCAGTGGAGACAGCCAGAGGTTATGTAACTCATCCAAGTCCCGGCAGAAATGGCCAATCGTGGCTCCAGATCCTGCACTAACTTCCACACTTAATCAACTTTCATCATCCCATCTCATTTAGTGACTGACACCTGGGGTCCACCCAAGGGACAGAGGCAGGGAGAGTCTCACTGACTCAGATCTTCCGCAGCCTGAGGCTAAGTGTGATGGTCCTTCCCTCGAAGCAGCACCACAGGAAGTAAAGAAACTAGAAGGAGAAAACAGTGGCAGAGATGGCAGCTGAGGGAGACCAGGAAGTTTCAAGAGCAGGAGAGAATTTTAAAATCTAAGTTGAACTGTCTCAAGGCAACAGCTCTGGAATGTCACAGCCATGTGACACTGGTTACTACTGAGTCTTACAGTTTATCAAGGGATAAGTTAGCATCATAGAGATATAATAAGGGACACAGTAAGTGTTAGAGAGTGGCCAGAGAGAAAGCTAACAGAGCATTACCTAGCCCATCAGAAAAAAAACACTGGTGTAAATTTAAACTACAGAAAAACGAAACAAAAGGACCCTCAAAATATCTTCCTGATCAAAACACAGAATGACTCCAGTGTTTTGCTGTTTGTGAAGTATCAAAGTAACTAGGAGCAAAATGGTTTAGATTTGCCCTTTCTGGATAAGACAGGAGGAGGGTCTGTAATATAAGGCTTCCGTCATAAATGCCAGATGCTGTGAAAACGTGCATGATTTGCTGAGGCTGGACACAAACATGAACATGAGGTGCTTCCAACTGCACGTGTCCCTTCCTGGCACCTGTTACCTGTTCTCCTTCTCCTCGATCAGCTCGTGGTCGCTGAGCTCTGGGCACTGCACCACGCTGACGCGTACCGGACGCGCACTTTGAAGCAGCCTTCGCACATCCTGCACCCGCAGATCTTCACTCCATATGAGTGACATGACCTCCTGATTCATGTCATTCATGCCGTCATCCTCCTCCTCAGTCTCTGTTCCTGAAGGAACATCTGAGGAGAGCACCTGAGAAACAGACTTGACTATAGTGACAACTTACAAACCAGTCAACACGCACAGACTGACTTGAGGATGTCCATGACAGATAGTGGCTATTACCACAGAGAAACCACAGACTTCAAAGCAGGCTGGCCTGGGTTCCCAAGGTGTCTCGGGACTCTGACCTAGAACTCTCTTTTCAAGTACAATTAGGTCACCCACTTGGAAATTCTTTATTGAGCCAAGAGTAAAAGTTTAAATTTAGGACAGTAGTCAGGAGGCTGAGTCCTTTGAAAGAAATGGTCTGGATAAATTGTAAAAGCCTAACTGTATCCTAAATACCTTGAAAAGGAAACAAATTACTGTACGTGGAATCTGACCCTAAAGAACCCACATACGTTAAATACTATCTCTGATTAGTGTAAGCAGAAGAGAACAGCATGAGGGACACACACCAGGGCTGGAGGAAGCTGGACAACACTCCCCTCTTTTAGTACTTTAAACACAACTGATTGTGGCTGGTTTCCAGTTCTTTTTATAAGCATGCTCCAAATAAAAATTTCTTAAAAGGGAAGGTACTGAGGGCACCAAAACCAATGAGAAGGGTTTATCCTTTGATTCCCACTCCATCCCCACAAGCTCAGCGCATGCTTGAACGGGAGCCCTCCCAGTACAGATAATTCAATCAGGCTGCAGCACAGCCAGGAACAGCATGGAATCTAGTTTTATCTCTTAAGGTTTTACACTCCTTTAACAAAGATTAACTCCTAGTTGAAATGCTAGAGTTTTGCAACATTTAATGTGGAAACAGTGTGAAAAAAATAACGGCAGATATGACTAATCATTCTTAGTTCATAAAAGTTCATTATGGTTCCTTTGGAATAGCTAATTTTAAAAGAAACTATATTCTAGTGGCTGAGTTAGCTGTAAAGTACACACCCAAATAACTGATAAATTGAATTTAAATGAGTTATAAAATATAGCCTCAAATAACTAAACAAATTGAATTTAGACCGAACTACTTAAAATGACAACTAAATACAGATGAATGATTACCAACACCACTTTGTTTTAGTGCTAATGATGTTATACTGCTCTCACTTGCAGTGAGTGAAAGAGGTCTAAATGCTAAAACTCATCTTGGTGAAGGAAAGGATGACGATATTATTAGCAAAAAAAAAAAAAAAAGGTTTCTGTTTAAAACAAGACAAACACCAATTCAACTAAGACTCATCCTGTAAGTGCGAGCTGAAACTGAGATCCCGGTTATGACCCTGCTGGAGACCAGATCCCCATGGGAGCTGCTTCCGTCAAAGATCCACTGGGCAGCATGGATGTTAGGAATGATTTTTGATACAGGTTCTGAAGAAGCATCTAGAGCCTAAGACCTAAGGGGGATTCTAAACAGTGACAACGTACTGATTATTATCTGTTGGCCCCCAGGCTACTGAGAGACAGCCAAGTCTGCACTTTACCAGGAGTGGAAGCATCTCCCCTCAATCTCCTTCGGTCCTCACAGAAATGCAGTGCTACCACTTAGTTTCTTAATGTTAACCGGAGTTCTAGAAATTTTAAAAGTTCTATTTTTAAGTTTTAAAAGAGAAATAACTGAAGCACCTCATTTCTATCCATAGGTTCTTAGAGCCCATTCTTAAAAGAACGGACTCGACGACTGATAAAGGAGGAAGTTCAGGAGGATGACATTAAGACACCTTATAACCATTCTAAACAAAAATCCTTTTCCTGGGACTTCACTTTTAGGTGGTTAAACAGATATATTCGCAGCTATTTAAAAGGTTAAATTCAAGAAATTCAACCTATCAGAAACATCTGAAAGTAAAAACCATTATACGTTAACCATTCAAATTTAGGACCTACATGCTGCCCCTTCTCCGCAAAATAATTACAAAGCCATTACCTGCCAGCAGTTCATGACAGCTGCCCCATTGAGGAGAATAGGTCCTCACTCAGGGCGAAGAAAGGTCCAGGCAAGACTGAGTGATCACATAAGCTCCTGCTCCCACATTCAATTTACAACTAATAAGATCTGTCCAATTATAAACCCAACCTGGCATGTAACAGAAAAAAGATGATCTGATTCACACACTTGCAAAGAGACTTAAAGAAAACCAAAGAACAGTTCCACTTCGATTTTACTGAGGCTAAAGCTGAACCTTTAACTCCGCACTGACACTCACAGATTTCCCTTTGGGCAAGTTTCCCTCACAGGCCTGCTTGGAGAGGTCCTGGCGTCCTATCAAGAGACAGACAGCCTCCGGCCAATCTGACGCAGGCTGCTCCCGACAGTGATAAATTGCATCTCTGATGGGAAGAGCAATTCCAAAGGGAAGCGTTTCCAAGTCCCTTAGAGTGAATCCTGTGATGGTGAAAGGAAAAGAAAAGCTTTCATTTAGATTTGCCACTGTCCCAATTATCCCCTGACTAAAGTGAGTAAACGTCAATCCTGGCAAATCAGAAAAAAAAATTTTATCTATCTTATTCCCAAGAGAGTGTCTTGACATCAGGGATTAGTAGGAAAGGTCTTTACGAAACTCTTAAAACTCTTAAGAAGAAGACAAACCATCCAATAGGAAATGCACAAAGAACTTAAAAATATTTCCATACGAGGAAACACAAATGGTCAATAAATATATGAAAAGATGATCTATTCAGTGGGTCATCAGGAAAACGCAAACTGAAGCCACCAGGAAAAGAAGTCCACACACTCACTTAACAGACAAATATTAAAGTCGTCCAATACCAAGTGATGGCAACTCCGCAGAGCAACCGTGATGCTCACCCACGGCTGGTGGAGGGCATGCTGGTATGACCGCACCAGAAAACACTTGGCCTGTATGGACAGGGCCTTCCCTACCGGCCAACAATAGCCACATGCAAACTTGTGCACATGAATTAAAATATTCATTAGCAACGTTGTTTCATTATAGCAAAAAAAGGGAAAGGAGGAAACAGCCTAATTGCTATCATCAACAGAAATGATAAATAAGTTGTGCTATAATCAAACAATGGATTATATAGCAATGAAAATGAATGACCTATCGCTACATGAGTCAACATGGATAAATAACAATACTGAGTGAAGAAAATAAGACAGTAGAAACATTTCTATTTACACCCATTTATGTAAAGTTCAAAAACATAAAAAACTAAACAAAATATATAAAGATGATAAAGCTACAACAAAAAATAGGGAAGGAATACAAACTTTAGGCAGGGCAGTGGTCACCTACAGTGGTGGGGGTGTGGGAGGACAGCACCCAGGCGCGAACACACAGGGCCTGCTCCCAACACCACAGCGTTCCACCCCTAATGCTGGTGACCAGTGTATCTGTACTCTTCACTGCTGTTCTCCAAACACACATTTCACACAGCCTTCTGTAAGAACACCACATTTCATTCAAATGGACGGAACTCATCCAACATTTTTCAGCATAGCTATGCTATCTATAATACTACATGACGGTGACTAATTTCCAAGGGGGCATACAAAAAAAAAAGATCAGTAAAAAACTAAGTCACTTAAAAATTCTTTAGATAAGAATTCAGAAACATCCCATAATATTCATGAGAGTACTACTTTTTAAAATACAAACTTTTTTATATCTTCATATCAGTAATTTTTTTTAGTTCTTTATTTTTATAAATGATTTCTTTAGCATTTTACTCAGTTTGAAACCCAGGAGCACAGGGTTATGGCTGGAGGATGGAGAACTCTCTCCCTTCATGTGGCCAATCTTCATCCGGTGCCTAAATGCCCTGGCTGGCACCCTTCCAAAGTATGTCTGCTATATCAGATTTACAGAAATACTCCCTTCTGCTGTCTGAGCATCACAATGGCCTCAGGTCTGATGTGCAGTGTGATCAGTGCTCGCCATTCTGAGGCCAAGAGTCAAAGGCTGGTGTCGCAGATGTTATTACATGAAAGTTGTGAGGCTGTCAGGGAAAGGGAGTGCGGTTGATGGGCCATAATCTGAATCCCGTGGGACCCTCTCATAGGGTGGAGCCCTCTCCTTGTGCCCCCAGGTCTAGCTTGCTTTGAGGACGCTGGGCTTAGTGAGGAAGGAGCGTCCAGGGAAAACAGGGTTCTCACCGACATTTCAAAGACACGTAAAAAGTAATGAAGACAATCTTACCTACACTAGTCATCCAGACAACTAATCTTTCGGCTAGACTAGAAACTGATGTAGAATGCTGGACACTAAGCCTGTGAGAGAAGAAAACACAAAGTTGTTACACAGAAGGGTAACATACACAATAGTGTTTCATATTTTTTACATAAAAGCACAATCTGAATAAAGGTCACCTGTTTTCCTCTTGTTCTGCTTGTGACTTCTGGGACGCTAAAAGGTAACAAAAGGAAACTTTATATTGACAATCTTCCTGGTAAAGAAAACACATAACACGTGGAAGACATTGCAAAATAAAAATCTGTTAACGACTCTTAAAACATAAAATACGAGGTACTCTGTCACACTGGAAAGTATAATTTCCCTAAAGTTAAAATAGTCTTTCTTAGGCACACTGAAAATACAGTTTGTTAGATTCTAAGTAACCCTGGTCTCTGAAAATCGGTTGTGGACCACATGCTAGAACAGTGCAGGACATGGCCTCTAAAGCACACACGTAAGAAATTTTGAACTTTTTCATTTCAGCTCTGGTATCAACATTTACAAAATTTTGTTTGGGGAAGTTTAACATTACATTGACTTACTTGGAGTTATTCTGGATAAATACTGTGAGGAGGATTCATCAGAAACAGAGCTTTCATCACCTAGAATGTAGAGTGCAATACTCTGCACAAGAAAAAAATTAACATATTATTTTCAAATGATGAGGTGTCGATACATACAGGACAGTTCACCCACCTCAGGTGCACAGCTCTGAGCTGCAACCAGTGTTACACACTCGTGTAACCGCTCCAACAGCCATGACACAGAACACCCTCCCCACCCCACGAGGTTCCCTGTGCCCCTATGGTCCATCCGCCCCGCCTGTGCCAGCACCGGAGACAACTCAGCTCCGTTCCTGCCAGCAGTTTGCCTCCTCCACAATGTCATGCAGATAGAACTACAGAATGTGTAGTCTGTGTTCTGCTCCTAGGCGTGCCTTGGGCAGTCATCAGCGTTGCTGCATCTATTAGGCGTTTGTCTCTACTGCTGAGCAGTATCCATTCTACAGATGTACCAAACTTCGTCATGAGCTGATGGATATGTGGGTTGTTTCCAGTTCATGGAAACCTAACCCTCTAACCCTCTGATCCTCTAACACTAACCCCTCTCCACTTCAGCCTTCGAGGGTCTCATCTGAACATTTGCTACAATCACCAAAATCTATACCACTAGCAAGATTTTTTTTTAATGCAGCAACATGATTTTCTTGCCATTTTAGTACAACGCTGGAAGGTCTTAGAATTCTGTGCCCCCAACCAACAAGGCGCTAGGGATGATGTACCCCTGGACTTGACTAATATTACATCTAACACGGGGAGCTGTAATGTGAATACCTGCAAGCTGACTAACCTGTTTAGGCTGGAGGTGGAACGGCGCTGGCATACCCACAATCCTTCACTCCCCTTTCTGCCTAGAGCCATCTGAGCCCACACAAGTCAGCAAGCTAGGTGAGGCCAATGCTTCTGGAGGTTTCACATAAATGCTTCCACACAAGCAGCCAGGAATGCAAAAGTTCTGGGACTAAGCTGCTCTTAAAACACTGTGAATGTATCTAATGCCACTGAATTGCACACCGACCGTTAAAATAATATCTGTTACGTTAGGTTATCTTATCGCCATTTTTTAAATGGCAGAATCACCATTCTGCATGGGGCTCTGAAGCCCTCCTCCACATGGAGCAGAGGGGAGGCAAGTGGGACCACCAGCATGTCCCCAGGCAGACCAAAGATCATGGTGCCCCTTTAAGCCTGGGAGGTCCCCTCCCTGGGGCAGCCAACAAAGGACACATGGGTAGGCTACTCCAGTGCTGGGGACGAAGGGCAGGTGCTGAAAGAACTCACCTTTACCAACACCCTTTGGTTCTATTTGAAGATTTGGCCTCAAACATGTATTAACTATTCAAAATGAACTAATTTTTAAAAATAAATAAAAATGTGTTTCTCCAGGGAAAATTTTCAATTAAGATTTTTGGTAGCTACAGACAAACTGAGTATGAAATTCAAATAAAAAGGCAAAGGAACTAAAATAGCTAAAACAATTTTGAAAAAGAAGAATCAGTGGAAGGAATCACATTAACCAATTTCAAGACTCACTGCTACAAAGCTACAGTAATCAAGACTATGGGGACACGCAGATCTGTGTGGATAGATCAATGGACAAGGACAAAGAGTCCAGAAATAGACCCAGATAATTATAGTCAATTGATATTTGACAAAAGTGCAAAAAAGGAAGAGAGAAAAAATAGTCTTTTCAACAAATGGTGTTAAAAGATCTGGACATCCAAGTGGAATAAGAACCTTGACCCAAATATCACATCTTATAAAAAATTAACAAAATGGATTATAGATTTAAATGTAAAATGTAAAACTGTAAAACTTCTACGAAGGAAGAAAATCTTTGTGACCTGAAGTTAAAAATGAATTCTTAGACATGACTCTAAAAGCACTAGCCATAAAAGAAAAAACTGGATAAACTGGCTTCATCAAAATTAAACATTTTTGCTCTGAAAAGGACACATCAAGAGAATGATGAAATATGATAAGCTACGAACCAGGAGAAAATATTTGCAATCCACATATCTGGAACTCTCAAAATAGCACCAGCCATTAAGGAAATGCAAACTAAAACCACAATGAGATATCACTTATACATCTATGACAATGGCAAAAATTAAAAATCGTGACAATATCAAACGTTGATTTGAAATGGGAACATTCATGCGTTGACGGTGGGAATGTTTATGGTACAGCCACCCTGAAAACAGTCTATAGCTTCTTAAAAAACTACATACATACTTACTATCTGACCATCACTCCACCTCTGGGTACCTGCCTTAGAAAAGTGAAAACGTATATGCACACAAAAACCCTGACTTGAATGTTTATGGCAGCTGTTTTCATAGCTGTTAAACACTGGAGCCAAGCCACACATCTTCAGTGGGTGAGTGGATAAATCAATGTGAGACATCCACTCTACAGACTAGCACTCAGCAGTTACAGGTTCCCAATATGATGCCCCAACTGCTGACACAGGCAATACTTAGATGAATCTGGAAAGCGTATGGAAATTTTGTAGGCAGGGGGATGACAGAACTGTCCTGTCTTTTATTTACAATGATGATTACAAGAATCTATACATTTGGTGAAATTCACAAAACTGCACACAGAATTTTTAACAAGTTAATTTTACTGTATAACTTTAAAAATCATAAAAGAAAAAGAAAAATGATAAGGAAGCTAGGCCTCTTATGCATACATACCAAGACCACAAGCCGGCTTCTTTCACAGGCACCAGGGAGGTAGGGGTAGGGTGGCGACCCCTCGCCCTTCAGACAAGAACTCACCCACTGGTAAATACTTGGTGGCTCGGAAGTGAAAAATGATGGGTGATGCATAAATCCTGTTTGACCTTTGGAATCAGATAAACTCTTATAAATACAAGAATACATTAAAACAATGCTATTTTATTCTAAAGGAATAAGGTTTTCAAATGACAGATACCGATGATCAATCAGAATATAACACTTTTCCAAATTCTCTAAATGTTCCATGTTTTCAGCCACAGTAAGTAAACAGACTGCATCATAATATGTTGAATTTAAATGACTACTATTTTATCCCATCCTTGATGGAAATTTAGCAAATTTTTGTGCTCAAAGCATATGAAGAACCTAACCAAAATGTTGTGCTCTAACCCTGAAGATGAGAAAACAGAAGAGACAAGCAGGATTCCACTCTGTTCTAGCAAATGGCCCCCAAACAGAGGCCCTTCCGCTTCAGGTTGCAGACAGCACGATGGTGATAGAAACGCTCCAGTGTGGCAGCCTCTAGCCCCATGCAGCTACTAAGCATGTGAAATGTGGCCGATGAACTGAGGAGCTGCGTTTTTAATATAATTAACTTGAATG